TCCCCAATGTCCCCAAGGGGTCCCCAGTGTCAGCAACGCCGCCGACATCAAGGTGGCCACGGGGTCCCCAATGTCCCCATGGCATCCCCAGTGTCCCCAAGGGGTCCCCAGTGTCGGCAACGCCGCCAAGATCAAGGTGGCCCCAGGGTCCCCGTGTCCCCATGGGGTCTAAGATGTCCCCAGTGTCGGCAATGCCATCAACGTGAAGGTGGCCCCAGGGGCCCTATGGCGCCATGGGGTCCCTGATGTCCCCAAAGTCCACATGGGGTCCCAAATGTCCCCATGCGGTCCACATGGGATCCTCCATGTCCCCGTAGCGTCCCCATGATGTCCCCAACATTCTCAGTGTCCGCATGGAGTCCCCAACGTCCCCGCGCTGTCCCTACAGTGCTGCTGTGATGTCCCCAGTGTCCCCTCGCGGTCCCTAATGCTGCTCCCTGTCCCCACAATGGGCCCAATGTCCCCCCCATGTCCTCTTGCTGTCCCCATAGCGTCCCCTCTCTGTCCCCAATGTCTGTTTTGTTGTCCCAAACGTCCCCCTCATGTCCCCAATGTCCCCGCGGCAGCTGGAGGGCTTCAGCATCTCGGCGCACGGCAAGGAGCTCTTCGTCAACGCCGACCTGCTCATCGTGGCCGGGCGCCGCTACGGCCTCGTGGGGCCCAACGGGTGGGTCACGGGGGACACGGGGGGACACGGGGGGACATGGGGGACACGGGGGGACACGGGGGCGGCGCCCGCGCTGACCCGCGCGCCCCGCAGGAAGGGCAAGACGACGCTGCTCAAGCACATCGCCAACGGGGCGCTCAGCATCCCGCCCAGCATCGACGTGCTGCTGTGCGAGCAGGGTGCGCCGCGCGCCGCGCCGGGGCCTGTCCCGGGACACCGGGACCCTCTCCTGGGACACCGGGGCCCTGCTGGACACCGGGGCCCTGTCCTGGGACACTGGGACCTTGTCCCGGGACACCGAGACCTGCCCTGGGACACTGGGACCCTGTCCTGGGACACTGGGACCTGCCCTGGGACACCCGGACCCTCTCCTGGGACACTGGGACCTTGTCCCGGGACACCGGGACCTGCCCTGGGACACCGGGACCCTGTCCTGGGATACTGGGGTCCTGCTGGACACCGGGGTCCTGTCCTGGGACAC